AAAAAAAAAAAAAGAGAGATTTACAGAAGGCACAGATTCCAGTCCTCCTACCCCAACTAAAAAAATTAGAAATGAATGAGGATACATTCTGAAGTTTCTTGTCTTAATCCCAATGCCCTCTGGGCAGGAAAACAAAGCAATATGGGCTCACTTCCCTTATGATGCTGAGCTTTTCAAAGATGTTGACATGACCTTATCTATATGAACCAAGTTAAACTAGTCCTAACAAATGAGGTTAAAAAAAAAATTTTTTTTTTAACACAGAGTTGCACTTTGCCACCCTGGGTAGAGTGTCGTGGTATCATAGCTCACAGCAACCTCAAACTCTTGGGCTGAAGCAATTCTCTTGCCTCAGCCTCCCAAGTATCTGAGACTACAGGTGCCTGCCACAACACCCAGCTATTTTTAGAGACGGGGGTCTCCCTGTCGCTCAGGCCGGTCTTGAACCTGTGAGCTCAAGCAATCTAACCTCCTAAGCCTCCCAGAGTGCTAGTTGTTACTAGCACTGAACCAGCCCTAGGTTAAATTTCTTTTCTTTTTTGATCCAGAGACTCAAGCTTTCGTCCTGGGTAGAGTACTGTGGCATCAGAGCTCACAGCAACCTCCAACTCCTGGGCTCAAGCAAGTCTCCTGCCTCAGCCTCCCAAGTAGCTAGGACCACAAGCGCCCGCTACAACACCCAGCTATTTTTTGGTTGCAGCCGGCATTGTTGTTTGGCAGGCCCGGGCTGGATTCGAACCCACCACCTTAGGTGTATGTGGCTGGCGCCTTAGCCACTTTAGCCACAGGCACCAAGCCATTAAATTTCTTAAGAAGTAGAACCAAGTATCACTTGTCCTCTTATCTTCAGTGTCCAAGGACTTTATCATACAGTTAAATGCTTAATAAAAACTGAATAACTGGGCTCAGTGCCTGTAGCTCAGTGAGTAGGGTGCCAGCCACATACACCTAGGCTGTCGGGTTCAAGCCCGGCTGGGGCCTGCTAAACAATGACCAGCTGCAACCATAAAATAGCTAGGCATTGCAGTGGGCATCTGTAGTCCCAGCTACTCAGGAGGCTGAGGCAAGAGAATCGCTTATTAAGCCCAAGAGTTGGAGGTTGCTGTGCTGTGACGCCAGGGCACACTACGAAGGGTGACATAAGACTCTGTCTCCAAAAAAAAAAAAAACCTGAATAACTGGTTATAATACTTTAATATTATGAATACCTCTGGTTGCCCAAAGGTTCTCAATACTATTACTATGCCTTTCCAGGTCTACAAACCCAAACCCTGGTATTAAAACAGGTAGTAGTGGCTAGGCACGGTGGCTCATGCCTGTAATCCTAGCAGTCTGGGATGCCGAGGTGGGTGGATTGCTTGAGCTCATGAGTTTGAGACCAGCATGAGCAAAAGCAAGACCTCCATCTCTTCTAAAAATAGAAAAACTGAGGCAAGAGAATCGCTTGAACCCAAGAGTTGGGAGGTTGCTGTGAGCTATGATGCCACAGCACTCTACTCAGGGCAATAGCTTGAGAGTGTCTCAAAAAAAAAAAAAGGAAAAAAAAACAGGTAGTGGAGAGAGAAGAGAACTGTACTTATAATCAGGTGTCTGAGCATTAAATTCCAACTTTTTTTTTTTTTTTTGAGACGGAGCCTCAAGCTGTCCCCCTGGGTAGAGTGCCATGGCATCTCAGCTCA